GTCAGCCTGCTGACGGTAGCCACAAACCAGTAAAACCACATAGAACATGTATGTGTGTGTGTGTGTGTATGTGCATATGTATACATGCACATATATATATATGCGGACATAAACACAAGGGCAAATATTGCTGTTTTCATGCTAAGGAACAAACATTCCACGTTCCACTCTGCCAATGAAAGAGTCAGCCCCGCTAAGCTTCGTTCATTCGTTTTGATGTCAGATTGGTACTGACACATGCCAGGAAGTGAAAGCAGCGATCAGTGTGCTCTTAAGCAACTCTCGGAAAAGGGAACCATCGACAGTGTTTGCCGTCTTGTGGTTGCTGTTACTGCTTGGTGTATTGCCCATTGCCCCCTTCTCTCGTTGAAACCGAATACGGAGGAAGGTTTTGATTTAAAACAAATAAAAGTTAACAGAACTGCTGTGAATTGAGAGTGTAAACTAGGCCTAACTGCAATATGTCCAGCCCGTCTTGGTACAGCGTGAAAGCAATCCGGACCAACAGCTACTAAAATACGGCGCGACTTAGCATAACGGGGCTTGGCCGCGCAACATATACTTAAATCTTATAGATTCGAATTTGGGTTGGAAACTGTTATAGTAAACGATGAAAGGAGAGACGGAAGAGATGATTAAGAGATCAGGATTGTGAAGCTAAGTGTTTGAAATGAAACCAATTGCCATGTTGTAAAGTCATGTGAAAAGAAGTACGTACGGTACTAGTCAAGCACTGAATTTCTCGGCCTCTCGTCGGCTCCTTTTTTTTCTCTGAACTTCCTTAATATTGTTTTTCCTGGACATCGTCCGAAGATATACTTACATCACACCTGTTGTATGACACTTTGATTAAATAAAAATATGGCTGAGAGAACGTGGAAGAATTTTTTTCACGGAAGTTACCAGAATGTGAACTTTTTATCGATCCAGGTGTCCCGGAAATAAGAGCTGTTTACGTGCGAAATTTTCCTTTTATGCTTTTATGAAAGACAAGTGGTTTTTCGCCTGCTACCGAAAAATATCAGTCACAAAAGGACAATTCTGAAAACCCCTGAATCAGATACAAACTGCTTTGGACGTAGAACACTGTCGCAAAGGTTTCAAATTTATAGATTCATAGAACAGACTTAGATTTTAGGGCCAAGAATACATGAGGTCTATATCAGGACATATTGCTCAGTAAATGTACGACAAAGAACTAAGAGCCGAAGGCTTAAACTCCAATATCGTGGATGCTTCGAAAAAAAAAAGTTAAAAAAATCCTCAATTTTTGAATCCACGTCTTTTCTCTGGATATTTATTCGCTCTGCTACTCTCCCACGAGAAAGTTTGATTTTTGTCTCCACCTTTTTACTCTTTGAGTCTGATTTGCTTTCAGTTTCATTCTCTTGTGTCAACCGTGGACTTGTTTGCCATTCCTAATTATAAAGAAGGAGTTTTTTAATTGATTTCTCGTAGCCCCTCAGCCAAAATTTAATATATGTTGTTAAATTTTTTATGCGGATAAAATTGTAACTCTTCATTTATTAGAATTTGTCACCGAAAAACTGAATTTTGTAGAATATGGAAAAGCAAAGTGATAGTGCAATCCTGGGACCGTTGCAAATCGATGTTTCCGAATTAAATGGTGCAGGCTGCTATGGCTGTGATCAGAAACAACTTCCTGTAGATAGTACTGGATCGTCAGGCCAGAGGTAATGACCAGTTTTCGTTCGTTTTTTGAGTAAATCGGGAAGCGGTGGCACATTAATGTCTTTGAATGTTTATGTGTGTGTGTTTTTCCTTGGAAATGAAATTCATTTTTAAAATGCAGCAGTTATACAAAACCGAAGTTTTTGAAACATAGTTTCCGGACAGGGTGACAAACCAAAAATCAGTTTCTTCACGTCTTTTTGACCGCACTGCCGGACATTTTAGTTCAAATTCAGACTCATGTGAAAATTACGCGGGAAAAGCCACGGTCGAAGTTAACTCATGAAACAGTTCAATTGCGAATGATCTGGTACCGTTGAATCTTGATCTGTAACTCATCCGCTTACTAGAATGGGTTCTTTTTTTTGGAGAGTGGGGTAGACTATGAACTTTAAATTTTTGCAACAAGCATCGAGTAGATGATTTACCAACTTTATTTATGAAGCTTAGAATTGAAGGGCCTGGTATAGCTGCGGCTGGCTTGTGAGAGCATCCCAGTAATCACTAAAATAAGACATCCACACTTATGGCCCGGATGGTCTTAGTATTCTTGGTATATCATCACACAATGCAAGATAGACCTCTTGTGCCCCTGAGGTTCTGACTTAGGCTTCTGCTGCAATTTCCAACGAAGCAGAGTGTGCAAGTGAAATTTCAGTGACTGAAAATCGCCAGATGGCAGCAGATTATCATGGCAAAGTACATCCGCTTTTTGTATACACTGTCTTACTTTGTAACGCTGTGTCCTGCATCATCGCACAGGCCTTTTGACGTGCACCGACACTTTGTTATTTGTTTCATTGGTGTATTACTGTAAAAATTCTCTCTTTTTTTTCTTTCTGTTGCAAATGTGTGCATTTTATTTCTGTGTTTCCCTCTTGTCGTGCCTCGCTGACTTCAGTTTAATGCTTATTTTGAGTTTCGTTTCATAATTAAACATGGAACAAAACGAACCTTGCTAAGAACCTCTGGCTAGGAAAACCATTGCATCTACGGCACTGTAGCTTATCGACCATGACGTCTGCGTTCGCTTCCAGCTTCTTACTTAGCCACCTTGAAGGTAGTAAGCATGTGTTGTTATTTTGAAGCCCAGACAAAAAATTCTGTATTTTTATGCGTTTTTTGCAGCTATGCAATGCAAAAACACATATTGTCGAGGGGTTGTCTGTGTGTGTGTGTGTCTGTGTGTATGTATGTATGTGTGTATGTGTGTCTGTGTGTGCGTCTGTAACGAGTTTTCATCTCGAGATCCACAAAAGCCGCAAGGCTGAAAATTTGGTGACTTAATCTACACATACGTACAGGCTCGAATTCTCAAAATGGACGCTCAGTTCCACGTGGTTCTCACGTAGGGACACGTGAAAGTTTTGGCAGGAAAGTGTTTTCGGGAACGGCCAATGCTAGGAGGCTGGAACTTCACAGAGTTGTTACTTGGCCGGGTCTAATCCAAAGATTTCAAGCTCAGCCTTCACGCACCCCCAGGTCTCACGTACGCACACGTCAAAGTTTAAACTGGCATCATGCCAACTCCAGATTTAAGCTGACCGATAAGCTGCGGAGAATTGCGGTTTTGCAGCGTTACTTATCGCCCACTGTTGTGTCCGTGAAAGTAAATTACTTGTTAGCTCTTCTGCATCTCAGTACGAATACGTGAAATTTCCCACATGCGCTTTTGTAACTTCAGAATTCAACCAGCCAGAGGACCCGAACTTTCTGAACATAGCCAACGGTGGCCTCTGATCAAATGCACGCAAAAACGACTTACACATCACTTTCACGTCTCACGTTTCTCGTGTACACGCGTGAAATTTGACGTAACTCCGCAATCAGAGCAACTGGAGTACTGAAACTTTCTGAGCGTTACCCAGGATCGTGTTCGAGAAACGCGGGCGAAGAAAGCATTCACGTTGCCACTCACGTGCGAACACGTTAAGTTTGACGTAACTCTGCAACGAGAGTAGCTTGGGTGCTGAAAGTTTCTGAGCACCGTCCAGGACCGTGTTTCAGCACGCGCACACCAAAATAACATTCACTTTTCCCCTCACGTGCGAAGACGTGAAATTTAACGTAACTCCGGAGCCATAGCAGCTGGAGTGCTGAAATATTCTGAGCGTGGTGCAGGACAGCGTTTGAGCAAACGCAGTTCAAAATGATGTTCACGTTCATCCTTACGTACGAACACGTTAAATTTGACGTTACTCAACCAGAGCAGCTAGAGTGCTGAAACTTTCTGAGCGTTACCCAGAACCGCGTTTGAGCAGCCGTGGGCGACGAAAACACTCACGTTGCCGTTCATGCACGAACACGTGAAATTTGACGTAACGCCCAACCGGAGCATCCAGAGCGCTGAATTTTTTGGGCATGGATTGGGAGTCATTGTAGTAATTTGTAACAGTTGTGATGGCCAGTCCCAGTTGTTTTAGCTAGAAGCATCTGCAGGGAAGAACGTGCCACTGGCGAAAAACCTGCAGGGGAACTGTGCAAAAAACGCATCCTCGTACCGGAAGCCGGTGCGCTTTCGACTAAGTTTTGTTCTTTTTAACGACGATATTTGGAAAATTCGGGAACCTTCGTTAGTTTAATAAAATTACAATAATTTTATACTCATGTGTGAGGAAGTGATTTTTGCAACTGCTAGGGGCACGTTGAGTGATGGGACAGTGACGGGAAGATGTTCCGATAATTCCGGATCAGCATCTGGATCAGGCGGTAGCAACAGCTGCTGCATTGTATATCCTCATCAGGTTCGGCGTAAGAGCAAAGGAAAACCAGAAAATGTCTGCCAGCTGATGGCAATGATACAGCAGAAAACAACGCTTGGATCCACGACCTTATCCGCCATACAGCCTCCTCAGAAGTAAGTATTTCAAGACAGCTGCATAATTTAATTGTTCCATTAAAGCCGATTTCTGGCTTTTTATACAAATGCTGTGATTTTTATCCGATATCCTGGAATTTTTCCTTGAAGTCTGACTTGGGCTTCGTCGTACACGGGACTAGAATTTGAGCATGATGAAATTATTTTGGTAGTTCTCAACAATCCAGAAAAGAATCCGGAAAAGAACTGGATTTGTACTGTGTACGGTTAACTTGATTGCTGTATGAGTAGCCTTTAACCTATAATCTAGTACAGGAGTATTTGAGAGCAGAGCTCGCTGTCATTAAGAGATATGCCATTACGATATGCATTTCCGCGATCTTGATAATGGTCCTGTATTGGTAGCTGGTATTTTTTGCATAATCCAAAACCAGTGGCTCAAAATTTCAGGACAAAAACGGAATCGACATTGCTAAAGGGTCGTTCGATTAGTGTAGCAACAGTAAATGATTTTCGTAATCCGAAGAGTAGCGGTTCAAGTAATGCCACAGCAGCAACTACAGTATCATCCTTAGCACTGAAGAAGTTCTCGTCGCAGTTACGATCACCGCGATATTTTGAAATGATGCCAAATTTGAAACAGTTTGCACCGTACACGCCGCCACCGATGCTCAGCCCCATGCGCCGTGGCTCCGGCCTCTTTTGGAATATTTCTCAGTCCGCTCTCCCAGAGGTGATTAGATTGCTTGTTTTAGAATTTCGCGTCGTTGATAAAGACAAGCGATGCTGTCAATATTCTTCTCTATATTTATATTCATACGGGAATTTTCTACTTATTAATTTTTATATTTACACATTGATATTTACATTACTACCCCGATACTTATATTAATTTTTTATGTGTCTTTTTTAATATTTTTATTACTTTTTTGAATATCCATATTTATACTGCTTCTTCGTA